AGTTTTCCAGAATTCTTACCTCACTTGGCCTGCCTTCCATGCATTATTACTATCATATTGGTCTTGAAAGATCTCAAGTCTCTTCAAATCTCAAAACTAAACTCATTCAGCCAAAAAAGATGAAACGGCAATTAGGGCATGTAGCTACTGGTCTCTCCTTCCCCCTCCTCAGTCACGTATCTCATTGTATTTTGATCAGATGTCTGAGGTATATACAGTATAGAAGAATTTCTTCAAATGTAACATAAATGTAAAATAAATCAATTTAAATACTCAGGAGGTGTTGCTGATTGTCAGGGAATCAATTGATGGATTTGCATAATCACTACATCATTGTTTTGACCTTTATAACTGTATGTACACACAGAATGAAAGAGCAAGAGAGAATTTTTCATGTTGTGCCTTAGAGAATTTTCAAGCAACTTGCCAACTTTGATTTTTGATTATCTATTGCTAACATAAAACACAAAAATACATGTATAAAAGACAAGGAAAAATATCTAAACTGAAGGAAAACAAAGTTGCTAAATGTTGAAAAGTATCAGTGACCAAAAAATACTGATTTATTCCTATCATTTTCCTCTACAGGCCAATAGAAGACAACTTCATTATTCTCTTCACACTGCCAGTTTGCTCTGGGAGGAATATCGTCCCTACACCTCACATACACAAAGCTACAGCTTTCTGGGTCTTGCTGACCTACACGGACAAGGAAGTTGAGAAGGGGAAACCATAAAAACTGCCTAGGGAAAAAGATAAAGCAAAGTTCCCAGAGGTTTTAGTTCCCTTTTTAATTCCACTTTCGCTTTATTTATTTTTTTATTTTAACCTTCTTGCAGCAGATTCACAGATCATTTGGTCTTCAGTATTTCTCCCGCTCCCCAGAAAAGCAATACAGAAGTGTTTCCTATTAACAGGATACTTCTCTTTTGTGGTTCTCCATATATCAGTTAATGTCATTCTGTATGCAATTACCTTGCAAATGGAGTTACTGCAGTTTTTTAAAACTTAAGGGAAAACTTCTAACTCCTGAACTGTGAATGGCTCATAGGGACTACTTTTCACAGCTTTTGCTTTAGCTTCTCGACTCTATAGTCTCATTTCATCACCAATGGAGAGACAGACAGATCAGAGTAGCTAAATTGGGATCCTGCTCAGCATCACAGTTAAAGGTGATCACCTCTCTCTATCCACTCCACAGAGAGTCCAAGGAACTCAGCCACAGAACAGTAATGATGGCTTTACAGAATATCCCTGGCCCCTTTAAATACTCAACTGAACATTGCACTGATGTCCTACAGGAATCACAGTTTAATCTTTATTTTGAGGCCCCCATATTAAATGCCAGTTGGTCCCCCTTGGGCTTACGTGCTCTTCACCACTCAGCATGTCAGATAATAAAACATGATCCTCAGCAGATTTAGATACAAAACTTTCATGCTGTGGAAATTAAAAAGTATTCCAAGTATCCAAGTAACTCAGATAATGCCAAAACAGATGATGGGTGCAGACAAGCCCATATGCCCCGTGCTCACACACAGGAACAGCGGGTTAAGGGGTTAAGGACTTAGATAACAATACAAGCTTAAGGAGCCTGTGCTCTGTCTCCTTGCTGACATTCATTCCCTCTTCATACTATAATGACTGCCCAGTCAAAAGTGCTGCAAAATGCAACAAAAGAGGTGAAGTGTGTTTTAAAACCAGATCAGGTTGCTGATCCAGTCTCCAGCACAGCTACAGAAACAGTTGTCAGCCCAAGTGGTAGGGCAGGGCTGTGAAGTGTGGGAGCAAGTATGCAGGACAAGGGAGCACAGGGACTCTTTAACACATACTGGTGCCAGAGGTCCCACACTGTGAAACGATACCCAGTGATACTGCACTGCTGCATCAGCACGGCACTGTGCTTTGGATAACAAATTTAGTAGAGGGGATGTGGTAAACTTAACAGGCCAGTAAGTACATCTGGGCTAGAGCTGGCTTTGTGTTCAGACTGTTCAGAGTAGGAGTGGAAGGCACGCGAATCTATCTGCTCCTGCCCACGTGGATGTAATGTAACATGCGTTAGTAGCCATACCTGACATAGCGCAATGTCTTACAATGACAGGCGCCTCTCCGCATACAAGCTGTGACAGTAGCAGTGGATTTTTCTCCTGTGCTTCCATCCAAGAATTTCAAACGTTTTTTAAGTGCCAGTGAATTAATTTTTGCTTCCAATTCCTTCACTTTACGGATCGAGAATTCCAGAAGCACGCAACAAAAGTCTGCAGCACACCCAAGAACATGACCTCAACCTCCTGACTTGCTGAGTAGCTTGCTGCTACACACAGGAAGAACCCCTGAGGGCAGGGACAGACGTTGCCTTGC